TCTGGCAGCTGTCTCCCTCCCTCCCTCTCTCTCCCTGGTACGAGTGGAGACAGGCAGGGGTTTCTCCGTGACTCCAGCTGCATGGAGCACGAGAGGGAGTTCCCGTCAGCTGGGCTCCCCCCCCCAAAAGGGAACTATTGTACATGTTGATCTTGGCAGCTTGCTGGAGAAGCCGGTTCATCATTTCTGCCCCCTTGGTTGGATTGAATGGTTGTTTGTTTTTGTTTTTAGCTGGCAGTGTGGTGTAGTGGTTAGAGTGTCTCAGATATGAGAGATCCAGATTGACATTCTCTCTGAGCTGGGAAACTCTCCGGGTGACTGGCGCTAGTAGCCTGCCATACCTCGCAGGGGTGTTGTGCGGATAAAAACAGAGAGGAGGAGAGCTGCCCTAAGCTAATCAGAGGAAAGATGGAAATGGCATGTAATTCATAAATTACCATATTTTTCCGTGTATAAGATGCCCCCATGTATAAGACACCCCTCCCATTTTTCTAATCCAGAATTAAGAAATCTAAGTAGAAATCTACTTAGCAATTATAGGGGGAAAGGGACAAAAGCACTGCAGAATCGCTTTGATCCTTGCTTTCCCCTCCACTTTTTTTGTTCTCTCCTCAGCTTACTTCCGTGTATAAGACGGGCCTCAATTTTTAGTCTAAAGATTTTAGATAGATGTATAGTCTTATACAGTGGTGCCTCGCATAGCGAGGTTAATCTGTTCCGGATTAACCCTTGCTATGTGAAAACATCGCTGAACGGATCAAGAAAACCCATTGGAACGCATTAAACATCGTTTAATCCGTTCCAAATGGGCCGAAAACTCACCGTTCAGCAATGTTTTCCTATGGCCGGCAGCCATTTTCGTGCCCTCTCCTCACTTACCGAGGTCGCGAAAATTCTGCGTGCGGCCATTTCGGGGCTTCCGGCGGCCATTTTCGAGCCGCTGAACAGCTGATCCGCGGGTCACAAAGCGAAGGTCGGTAAGCAAAACGCTTACCGATCTTCGCTATGCAAGTTTCGGCCATAGAGGCCATCACTTTGCGATCGCAGTTGCGATCAAAAAAACCCCCTCGCTATGCGAATTCGTCGTTCTATGGTGCGCTCGTTAAGCGAGGCACCACTGTACACAGAAAAATACAGTATATGACCTCCAAGGGCTTAAGGACAGGCTACAGGGTTTCCACACATTTATGTAAACAGTTAACCCTGCAAAGGTGGGCTCGGTTGAGCCTGTTCCAAGCTCACCACGGAGATTGAGGCCTGCGGATGGATTCGAATCCAGCTCTTCCTGGCCTTTGTCAAATATTTTAACCACTCTCTCATACTGCCCCTTGAGCACCACCACCTCATGTCTGGGAGGGCTCATCAGCCTCTCATAAGGTGATGGATAAATGAGTGACAATCACATTCATAGCCCGTGGAAGGAATAAGCATTCAGACTTAATATGGACAAATTTCGGTTTCTCTCTGTTTTTCATTTGTTAAAGCTCTAAATGATTCCCTTCAAAATATGAGTTGAATGAATTGGTCTCCCATTGGTCTCTTGTGAAATTAAGGTTTACAACGTCAAGCTGTCCCGGTGAAATCTGGAGAAACATATTTAGGGATGCTTACTCGAAATGAATTGGCTAAATTTCTTTCCATGTTTTGCCCCAGTTCTGTTGCTAGCCGTCTGCCCTCTGGCACCTTCTAAACATGTTGGATTACATCTCCCATCATCCACTGCCAGCATGGCCACCGGCTGGGCTGCCTGAGGACTAATGGGTGTTGAAACTCTGGGTGTCTTGGATTGCAATTCCCATCATCTCAGCCCACGTGGCCATTGATCCTGGGGTTGGGGCGATGGGGTTTGTAGTCCAGCCCTACAGAGGAGAGGGTGGTTTGGAGGAGGCTGCTCTAGAGAAATCCTCAATGCCTCAGCTGCTGGTCCTGGGGGGAAAGGGCCAGTTTCAAAGGTGGGGGGAGCGTTATACGGGCTTTGTACAAAAATCCAAAAAAAGAGTGTGCTGTGCTTTTGGGGGCCATGGAAATATTAAAAACGGACAAGCTTTTTGGCCAGCAAAAAAGGGTTGTAAGCAGAGTAGGGCCACTGGCGCTGTGTCCCTGGGACCACGAATGTAGAGAACCCCAAAACAGGGAGGGAAATCTCCTACGGAATACATATTAGGGAAATAAATGGAACTGCTTCCCACCGTCTTTTCGCTTCCTTTCTGAAGGCCTGAACTTTCTCTTCGTTTTTTGGGGGGAGCCCCTCCATGTTCCCTTCCTCCTTTTCCACGGGGGTCTCGCACCCAAGCCTCACGGGTGGAGACCATGGGAGCCGACGCCGCTTGCCCCAGGTGCCAAAAAGGGCTGCTTACGACCCCACAGCGAAGTCTTCCTTCAGGTCGGGTGACCGCGAGGGACCGCTGGCCTGCTTTTCATCGTGTGATGGTCCAGTAAAAAGTGGAAGCCCCCTCGGGTTTTAGGGCTGGTTTCAACCACGATGGTCCGGTAAAAGGTGGAAGCCGTACCTCGGGTTTTAGGGCTGGTTTCAACCACGCGCCACACTTTCGGAGATGAGGATTTTCGTGGGAAAAGGATCTGTTTTCCTGTTCGTGGACTTCCTCCCTGGCTTGATGGAAACTCGCTCATGGTTGAATGGGCTTGTCTTCTGCTCAACGTCCCATCCTTCAGTCCTGAGAGATTTTGATGGGGTGGAAAGTGGTTTGGTCTGGAGCTTCTCTGATAGCCATTTAACTCTCTCTCTCTCTCTCTTTTGTCTCCCCTTCTGTTCGCCTGGGGGCAGGATGCGTGGAAGGACTCCATAGAGCTTTGATGTGACCTACTTTCCCCTCGGCTTACCGCTGCCCTTTCTAGTCCCCCCTCTCTTCAGCTTTTTGCGGGATGAAAAGGCACAAGTGAACCGTCCTTCCCAGTTTCTTTGAAATATATATATATTGCCCCACCCCACCTGGGAAGTTGTTCCAGCACCGTGGCACAGTGTTGGCCACCTTGTTGGAAATGGCCACCTCGGCAGGTGTGGGAACGTGGCAACACCCCGGAGAGGAGGAAGAAGAGGAGGGAAGGGAGGAGGAAAACGAGCCTGAAGGCCGTCCATCTCAGACCAGAGAGAGACGGGCCGGGAGACGTATGGATCGGTGGAACATCTCAGGCTCCTCCGAGGAGATGCTGGAGGACGTTGGACGTCTTGAAAGGCTGGGGGATGACCAGGAAGAGGATGAACTGGGCTACGACCTCAACAAGACTCAGGACCTTGAACGCCTAGGGGAGGCTGACCCTGCAAATCTGCTCTCTGGTGAGTAAAGCGAGTGATCCGAGCCCTTGATTTCGCCGCCCCGCCCCCCGAGATCCCTCCTCTGACCCATGGGGCTGCTTCTGTACTTATCTACACCCAGTGGTTGAAGGGAACCGCGTCAAGGAGCGAAGGAGCTTTCGCGCTGAACTGAACCCTGGCGGGAGCCTTTGGGAGGTTTTGCATAGAACCGGGGAGTCCGGTTTGCAGGCTGAGAAGGATTTACATGGGATAGGAGTTGGGGTTTTCAGACACCCTCAAGGTTTCGTCTCTCTGAGAGCCAATTGGTAAGATTTCCACCCCACAGAAACAACACATATTAACCAATAGCTATGACTTAACTTGGAAACAACACACTAGTTATGTATAGTTACTTTTTGGGGGGTAATGAGGTTGCTACCCCTGACATTTGAAAGGTATTGTACTGGTTAGGTTTAAAGTTACTGTAGTGGTGTAGGAAGTAATGTTTTCTAGGTGCTTCATGAGTTTCTCTAGAAAAGTTTATAAGTTCTCTTTTCTGGAGAATTTTAAGTAGAGCTTTTTGCTTAAGGACTTTGATCTTGTTTCGGCTTCCTAGATGATTTATGAGTTTCTGTAGAAAAGTTTATAAATTCTCTTTTATGGGGAATTTTAAGTAGAGCTTTTTTGCTTAACAAGGACTTAGATTCCTGATTTTCCCTTTTCTCCTCTCCTAGTGTTTGCCCCATCTTGTTTAACAGATTCTGGCCGGGGCATTCTTGCAAACTCTTGCTATTATTATGCAAAGTATTTGAAAGCAGTTTGGTTTGGAGCAGGCCATTAAGAGCTGTTAGCTTTGCAAAAGTCCTGCTTCTGGAGGAAGAACGACACAGTGGATCCAGCACGGAGAAACTGGCTGGCAGACTTCCTTTTGCTAGTTGATACAAAGAGGAACACAAATCAGTGAAGATAATTTTTTTAAAAAAACACCTTGCTGTTTTTTACAGAACGTGTCAAGGATGATGAAAACATAGAAAGCCTAGGTTCGGTTTCTCACTGGCACCCACATGAAGGCAGTTTTGAGGAACACGAGAAGCCAGAAGAGGCGTGGGACGACAGCAGCGAGGGTGAGCCCCACCTGGAGCTGTCCTACGAGGGCCGATGCCTTTCAGATTTCAGCCCCAGCCCTGAACCGATGAAAGATCCTCTGGCTTTACATAAACATGGCAAACCCTACAGCTTTAACTCGGAGGGTGAGGAGGAAGAATTTTTATCAGAGAATTCCAACCTCACGTCTTCTCCTTCCGGATCTCCTCCAGAGCGTCCCTGCTTCAAAACAGCTGTGGTTGGAACCCGGGGCCGAGAAGGTGACAGCCAGGAGTTTGTTGAAGAGAGAGGATTCTCCTCTGAATCTGGGACGAGCCCAAAGGGTTATGGGCCCCCTTCTCTGGCAGGTTCCGTACAATGGAGTTGCAGCCCGTTGGGCCGCCTCTCCTTAGAAGACTTCCAGAATTCTCCCACCATGGATTCTGAGGCGTTCCCGGGAGACTCCTGGATGGAGAACTTGGCCCATCCTCAAGGGAACGGCCTCAAAATGGCCACCAGCATCACAGTCCAGGACCCTCAAACCCCAGCGATGCCCAAGGAGAAACATCGGGATGCGAGCGAGGCAACGGAAGATTCTCGGGCCCTGAAGAAGACACGGGACCACCATCCACCAGGAAGAGCACGCAAGCCGCAAGCCGACGTCCGGCGCGGGCTTCCGGCCAGATTCAGACGGCAGTCGAGGTCCCTCAGCCCTCAGAGGACCCCGTTCCGGAGAAAAGCCGGAGAGCTCGGGTCGAGCGACTCGATCCGAGCGCGCCGTTCGCCCCTGGCCGGGAGCGACTCCGTGCCCTACGGCCGTGGGCAGCTCAACTATCCCCTCCCTGATCTGTCCAAGGTGGAACCTCGTGTCCGCTTTCCCAAGGACCCCCAAGGCTACCACCCGCCCCGCGGAAAGACCCTCCCGGCCAAGTCCAAGGATTCGGGGAAGCCGGTCATCTTCAAGTCTCCTGCCGAGATTGTCCGGGAGGTGTTGCTGAGCAGCGGGGAGGGGCCCCTCCCGAAATACCCAAGCGCTGCAGTCTCTGTGATTCCAGAGGAGCTGAAATCCCCACGGCAAGCCACAGAGCTGATCTGTCAGCTTCAGGTAACGTCCCTCCGGAACGCAGTGCGGAGGCGCGAGATCCACGCCGTCGCCCATTTCTGTGGCACGCGGCCGGCCTGTGAGGCTAAACCGTGACCAGGTGTCTCTGAGATGTTCAGGGGCTGCCTGCACCCCTGTGGGCCACCCCTCCAGTTTCTGACGAGATCAGAAGCCCCCCTGCAATCATTTCTGCTGCTTGGGAGGTAAAAGAAGGTGCAGGAGTCTCTGGATTTTAGCTGAGAATACCTGAAAAAGGGAACTTTCCCTCTCAGGATGTGGTCTCGTTGTGTTCTTGTTTTTGGTAGAGGAAGAGAATGTGGTTTGGAAAAGCAGGAGGAACTCTTCTCTTCCTTGCCCTCAGTCACGGCATTCTGTTCTTGCCCCCCATCGTAGGAGGACTATCGCAAACTGCTGACCAAGTACGCAGAAGCGGAGAATACCATCGACCGCCTGCGGCTGGGTGCAAAGGTAGGTGGCCCTCAGGGTGTTCTTCCCCGGGGTACCTTCCCCTTTTCCACGGATGCCTTGTCGGGCCAAGCTCGTGTCTGTGTGATGGAGAACTTTTTGGTCCCGGCATTGATGGTTCTTCGGGGCCACCGTTCAGAGCCGAAGCACACGTTTTGTGTCTAGACAAGCTATGGGTTCAAGCCCTGGCGACTGGGGTCCACTAGCCTTCCCCAAGTTGGTGCGGGGGGGCAATCTCCATTGAGCAGTCCCAGTGAGTCCCCCAGCTCTGACTCTGGAGGTGACCTTAGCCAGCTGGACGAAGGGCCTCTGGCGGCCGTTGGCCTTTGTATGAGACCGTTTCTGGCATGTTAACGCTGAGTCTGTGACTTGGGGGAGAGAAGCTCTAGACATCGGGATTCCAGCCCCCAGCATCCCGGCTCTTTGCTGCTGAGGACTTGGAGGACAGAACCCTCACCCACGCCAGAAAGATTCCCCGCAACTAAAAAAGCCAGCCCTTCAAGGATGTTCAACCAGCCCTCTCCTAGCCAGGCTAGATTTCTGCTGGCAGGGGGTTGCTTGGTAGAGAGCGGGCATTTCTTTGTGTGAGATCTGTAGGCTTAGACAGAACCGAGGCAAGAGGTTGACCCCCGTAGTTTCCCATAAACCATCTTAGTTGAGAAAGTTCCGGCGCTCTGGATAGAAGTTTGAAAGAGAAAAGGGGAACCGTCCCGTTCTTCATTTGTTTTCTCCCCTCGCATTAGCACACTTGCTTTGGTTACGAGTTCCTGCTTGTTATAGTGACTCACGGGGCTTTGGCTTTGACAGGAAGTGGTGGCAAGGGGAGTGAGAACACTCTTGTCAAGATGAGAGCGATTCGGTGTCTCTGGCAGGCGCTCCCCCTCCCTTCCCCAGGCCACCTTTTCCTGTCTCTTCTACAACGACAGAGAAGCAAAAGGAGCCCCCCCCCAAAAAAAAGACAAAACAAAGATCATCTTAGAACGGCAGAGCTGGAAGGGACCCTCGGGGTCATCCAGTCCAGCCCCTGTCAAAGAGGCTCCAGTAGGGGAATTGAACTCCCAACCACTGGCTTGGCAGCCAGAGACCCTAAACCCATCAGTTCTATCACCTGAGAACTTCAGAGCTAGAAGGGATCCAGTAGATCATCAAGTCCCACCCCTGTCGGGGATGCCCAAGGGGGAATTGAATGCCACGCCTAAGCCTCTGAGCTATGAGAGATGTGAACTCAAACGCAGCTTCAGAACATTCACTGGTCTCCAGATCCATCCAATTGACTTCTCCCTGCGCTACGGGGATGTGCGCGGCCTGTAACTTGCTATTCCTAGGTTATTGGTTGAAGGGGGTTGTTACCTATCATTCAGTCCATTAGCATCTCAGTGCTTCTCATCCCTCGACCATCTCCGGAGGTCTGGCCCTACCACGAGATGGAGGAAAGGATCAGCCCCAGGTGGAAAACAGTCGGGGTTGGCAGCCGTTTATTCCTGGACGTTCCCATCTACTTAAACAGGCAACGGGGAGGTTGGTGGGTGGACCACCTGGTCTTTTCCCCACCTCAACGATGCCAGTTTCTGGGCACGTTGGACTGAGCAGGGAGAGAGAGAGAGAGAGAGAGAGAGAGAGAGGGGGGGAAAAGCCCCTGCTCCCGCCCAGATTATCGAACTCTTGGCGAAGCCTGTCCTGCAGCCTTCCCGGCTGCCCACACCAGCTGGCCTTCAGAGCGTGCTTTCCCGCCAGCGGGGCCGGGATGAGCCACGCCGAACGCCCCGTTGCCTTCTTTCCGACTCGTTTAGGTCCGCCTCTACGCCGACCCTCCGAAGCCTAGCCACGAGGTGCAGATGGGGGCGGTGTCGCACCCCTCCAAGGTCATGACCTTTAGCATCCCTCAAATCCGGGCAGCTGAGATCACGGGGAAGCCGGGACCAGCTCCGGACGTTGCCGTGAACCCAGGTAGGTCCTTAATATCCGCCTCCTTCTCCCTTTAAGAAGCGGTGCTCTTTTCCAAGGAAGCTCCATTGAACCAGGACAAACCCATAAGAGCAACTGCCCCACCCTGTCTTCCCACCACATCTGGGGTTTTTTTTTCAGTTGCCCCCAGATTTTCCTTGGCCCACCCAGAGAGGGTAGGGGGGCAGTTTTCCAAGTTTTTGTTTCCCTTGCATTCTATTTTTTTCAAAATGGTTCCTTAAAGGTGCGAGGAACCCCCGTGGTCTTCTAGGGCACATCGGAGATTGGGCCGTTTTGCCATGTTTCCCACCAAATGGTTCAGTGACCAGTAAGAGTCTCCCCCTCCCCACAAATTCAGACACGATGTCCAGACAGGACCATTAAAAAAAAAATCCAAGAAAAGGGGTTCCAATAGCAAAGAGGGTGTGTGTTGCTTCTGGAAAGTTGCCTACCCCCCCCAAGTAGCTACCCCCTCCTCAATCCCCCATAGAGAGCACAGTGAGGCTCCAGGGTGCTCATTCGGCACAAAATCCTGGCGGTTGTGGAGAAAGAAATGAAAATACGGAGAAGGAAGCAGAATTACTGAGCATCTTGCCAAAGGGCTCAGCTGGCTGGCTGGCTGGCTGGCTGGCTAAAACTCGCAGGAGGAAACCTAGCAGCTTCAATATGCTGAATTGAAGTGACCCGGAACTCAGTCCTAGGTTCGTGACACAAAGGAAATCTGATTCCCTGGTTTTCTCTCAAGGGAGAAAGTCTTGCTCGTTTTTGGTGATCTAAGACAAAAGCAGAGATTTTTGATGGGCAGGAGTGGAATCTGTTTCCTTTCCAGGGTTTTCTGGACCGCAAGGAGACTCCGCTTCTCTCCTTGATCCCGAAGACACCGGTGCCCGTGGAGAGGAGGACGTCCCCTCCCCAGAAAAACCTTTCTCCGGAGAAGAGTTGACTTCGGCGTTGGCTGCTCAGGCGAGCAAATTCCGGAAGCAGGCAAGTGAATTATGTGGAAGTCGTAGCCAATGGGAATGGAACGAAGTTCAGATTTTCATTGAATTTCCTGCAGATTTCAGGACTTTAAGGTCATGTTTGAGATGCCCTTCAGCATGGGGAGGGAGAGGGGATATAACTTTAGCCCCACAGTTCCCGACCTTGGGGCAACCAGGTGTTCTTGGACTACAACTCCCAGAAACCCTGCCCAACAGAGCTAGGGGCGAAGGCTTCTGGGAGTTGTAGTCCAGGAACATCTGGGTTTCCCACTGCTTTAGCGTTATTTTGATGCTGCGCTTCGTGCAACGAACGGCCGAAGCGCGAATGCATCCCCGATGGTGTGCAAACGCCACTGTTTCCATTGAAGTTTTAGAAGAGGCAGCCGTGTTACTTTGGTTTTGCTAGCACGTCAGGCAAAAAGAACACAAAAACAAAAAAAATAAAGGCAAAAATGTTGTGACACCTTAAAAGACAAGCTGCTATCATTTAACTTGAGCTTTCCTGGATGCCCCACTTCTTCAGACAAGACAATT